ATACTTCTCCACTCCATTCCACAAAGAGTATAAGCAAAGTTTACAAACTCAATCTTCATTGGGAATAGTCCTATTCAGTAAAGCTTGTAGTTACTGATTATGATTATGGATTATTAATAAATCTATAATCAGAATATCAGATCCAAGTCACATAAAAGCTAAAAGGTTTTGACATGTCGTACATATAATCCATAATCTTTACTAGAACATATTAAAAGTGGATGGTTTAATTTATAATATTGATAATATGGATTAAATAAGCTTTAGCCAACCAGCATAATATAAGAAACAAGTAGGTATCCTAACTTGAAGTTGTTACAAGTATTACTACATAAGAATTAAATGGGAGGTGCAAGAATACTAGATATATAGGAAATATTTAGAATTTTTTTTAAAGATACTTTGCAGAAGGGGTTCAACACAGATTCTATACACAATCAAATTGCTTTCAGATTGAAAAGATCACTTACTACTTAGCATGAACACCAAAGTGCCAAGCAGATAAATCCTCCAAGAGATAACCATCATAAAATGATAATGATTAGGCATGACAAGGATGACTTAGATTTAGAAGATATGATTACCAGCCAAATGGATTAATACTCTATTGGAGCAAGGAATTACATACTTGTAAGCATATCTAGGTATGCCTGATACTGAGGTAAACTGATCTTTACTTGGGCGAGACCACCAGCTTTGTTGAGAACTTTTGGCAAGGTATTGTGGTCTATTGATGTTTATAGAAGCACTAGACTCAATGCTTATATCAAAGCCATTTGTACGTATTGGAAGAGTTGCTTGAGATTGCTCATTTGCACAGCGACGACGGCGAGCTCGTAATTTATACCATCGAACACCAAAGAATACAAGTGATGCAATAAGAATTCCAACAGCCACACCAACTGACACACCAATAAGAACTAAATCACCCTTTTGATCCATTCTTTGACTTTTTTTCTATTAACAGTCAACAGGACCATCTTGCAGGGATTTGCCAAGGCGCCACTGTCATCACCGCCAGAAAAAAAAGCACTAGTCAGAGTGAAACTCAACAAAATAAGTGTTCCATCAAGATACTAGAAAAATGCAAAGTTAATCAACATTGTTATGGGAAATACTGCAGAGCTTGAGAGCTTAACAGTAAGTTGATGTTAATTGGCAAAGAGAAAAAGGGAAAAACCAAGATTAGGCATATAAATTATTTCTTGCCTTGTCCAGCTGTCCACCCACCCCCTCTCTGAAGAAAAAACAAAAGAATTTGAATCCCCTCAAGTACACCATTAATTATATAATTTCTACACAGTTTAGCATCCAATGATATAAGCTCAGCAGTCTGAAATCTGAATTGGTGCATGGCAAGCATAATTAATTTCCCAGTTAAATGACCAAAAAATAACTTAAGATGAAACCCTAAATTTGCTGACTGATTTTTGTGAAATTGTTCATTTTCATGAATTAAAAAACTAAAAATTTCAGACTCTACACACATCAATGCAATTCCAAGTACTACTCTGAAAAAATTCAGCAGAGTAAGCTTTAAATATTAAGCTTAATACGCACGTCTATAAACTATAAATTTACGAGCTACAATAAGAAAAAATCAAATTATTACTAGCGCTTCAATAGTTCAATCTAATTATCACTCTTCCCAGCTGAATCAGAACTCCCTTTCCTCACTCTCCAGACTACAGCACATAAAAATAAATAAAAATAAAAACAAGGATTTTCACTGCATCGGAAATTTGAGAACCCAGCTAGTGTGAAATTCACAAACACCCAGCTAAAAGTAAGTTTATCCCAGAAATGAAACATAAAGAGGAAAAAGGAAAAGCTAAGAGGAAGCATAGAGGCAGAGTAACGCTATTGGAACGAGATATCGAGCAAATTAAGGGAGCATTCAACAGCAAAAAGAAACAAAAACGAACAGGGCCAGTTAAAATGGGGGGGAAAAAGGATCGAAATTCAGAGTAAACAGCGCATACCTAAGAAGCTGATCGAACAGCAATTTCCATCAAAGAATGATTTTGATCCTCAAACGCAAGAAATAAACCGTAAAGGGGGTGTTATTCGAGTATTGCAAGTCAAGATGGATCATGGATGGCTTTTGGCTTTTGGCTTTTGCTTTTTAGCGCACGCGATTTGGGTTTGGTTTGGTAGAGCGTAGAGTACAAAGATTCGTTATTCATAGCAGACAGAGTCTCCAGGAGTCATGGTTGACCTCTACCTCTTTGTTGAGTAGGTCAATTTTGGGCGTAGCCCGTAAGTATAAACTATAAAGTATGTCCTTCGGCTGAAATATTAATTTCATTACTTTTTAATTAAAGTTACGAGTTGGAATAGACATGGTTTAGAAGTGTCTATATTTTTCAACAAAAAAATAAAGTGTCTATATTCATCGATTTTGACGGGCAATACTGCCTTCGTCTCATTTTATGTGGTTAGTTCAGTTAATGAGACTGAATTGGAATTATTTTTAATTTAATTTTTTATAATATTATGTTTAGTATTAGTACACAAAATTTATATATTTAGAGACTAGTAGACTACACTAAAAATACTATTAAACACGGAAAGTTAAATCTAAAAATGAGTAAATAATATTAATGATAATAATAATAATAATAATAATAATAATAATTAAAAAAAATAAAAAAGAAATAATTGATTTGACTAATGAATAGTAAGTATAACAAATAAAATGAAACAAATGAAGTATATAATTTCAAAACTCATCTTAATTCTAAAGTAGGTGAATATTTTAAAAATAATAATAATTCTATTTTCTCCTTTTAAAATAACAGAGCGTTTGATTGGAAGGAATGAATTATGAGGGAAATGATTGTAATTCGACGGGAAAATAATAAGGTGGAATAAAGTAGGAATTCAAATTACGTTGTTTGGTATGGAGAAATCGAATTATTATAATTGAAAAGGAAATAAGTGGTATAAAGACTAAAATACCATTGTGTAATCTTACATATAATAAAGCTATATGGTTGGGAGGTAATTAATGTTACAATTAATTACCAACATTATAATTATTACTAGCTATAAATATAAAATAGCCACAACATTTTTTACTATTAAAAAAAAAAAAAAAACACAACATTTGAAAAATAAAATCATTTAAGTCATAAATAAAAATTTAATATATATAAATGTATATATCGTATGTGTCTTTAATGTTTTTCTGGATGTCTAAACTTAGGACTTTTAAAAGAAAAAAAATACATTTGAATTATCTCCACAAAAAGTGGTCTTGGACTTATAAAATGACATTTGAGTTTATGAAATGCCATGTGCATAAAGAATATATTATATAATCATATAAAAAATGTGTTCAATTAGAGTTTAAATTGACTCATACAAAATTTGAAATTTGCTTTCTAAATGTAATTATCTTAGTTATTATTCGTATTGTGAAAATTATAATATAGATGAAATACAATTAAGAATAAATCAATGTAATTATGTAAATTCTCTCTATAAGTTTATTTGAATATATACATAATTAGAAATTATATTAACCCTACAAAATTTTAATTATAATTTTGTATTCTATAAAAATAATAAATACTTGACCAATGGAAGCTCAAAAATATTATTATATTAAATAATTTAAAATATTTTTATTTTTTTCTAGTTTTTATTTATATTTATAATAATATAATTTTTTTCCCGTGCATCGTGCAGGTGAATTACTAGTAATAATAGTAATAATAACCAATGGTAGTAGTGTCATTTCATCTATATATTTTCCTTTCTCATATCCATTGAATTGCAATTATGCTCCCTCCAACCAACCAGTGTAATTCACCTTGTTCATTGAATTTCAATTCTTTTACAACCAAATTACAGCGCAAATTATGTCGTGCAATCGTGTGCACCATGCAAAACGGCGTCTTTTTGATTAAAAATGACGCGTCTGACTTTAAAAAAAAAAAAAATTTCGATTACCGTTAACGGCGTTATGTTGTGCATAATTTGAACTATATATCCAGAATGAATGAACTATATAGTTCAAATTATGCACAACATATATAACGTCGTTAACAGCAATTGAAACTGAAACTTTTTTTTTTTGTCGGACGTCAAAACGACGTCGTTTTTGCAATCGTGCGCACCATGCATGGTGCACACGGTTGCACAGCATAACGCTCCAAATTAGTATGTACCAAACGGGCTATAAGTTTAGAATTTAATGAAGCCTTGTCACGACGAGTTAAAGAAGTTTGAGAAGGCTTGTATTAATTTTTTTTTTTTTTTTTGAATAAGGGTCAAATAGGTTATGCACATGATAATGCAATTATGTCACTGAATCTACAAAAACTACAATTGAATCCCTAAACTAACCAATTTCATACAATTAGTTCTTTTTTTTGAAAGTCAACCAATGGGTTGTATTTATAGATAAGCTGAAATAGCATCAGGTGGGATATCATCCCAATACATAGCTGTTTCATACTGAGAAGCCGAGGCTGCTAAACTATGCGCTAAATAATTTTGCGATCTAGGAATAAAATGAACATGACAATATGTAAAAGTAGTAATATGGTTTCTGCATCCATCTAGAGCATAGCCAATATATGATCTTGGTAATTGATATGGTGGTGTCAAATATTTTTGTAGCGTCTGACAATCTGTATAAAGTTCAATCGTTTGCACTCCTCGATCACGTAGCCATGAGAGGGCTTCCTTGCAAGCATATGCCTCTGCCATCAATGGTGAATAACAATATGGTAGTGGCGCAACGAAAGCCGAGACAAAATGACCATCCTCTCCCATAAGTACCGCACCTACCGAAGCTTGATTGGATCCATCGTGATAGGTCGCATCGACGTAACATTTGTTGCACTGTTGCCGTTGTCCAAGTGGGTGGCTTGGAATTAATTGCATGGCAATAAGCATTTCCAGTGGATGGGTGTCGGCAGTACCATTTAAAGCAGCAGAAATTGGCGGCAGCAAATGCACCTAGCGCCACGAGTTTACCGCAACATGGATCATAGCCAGCGTCTTCCTTGGGTAAGCCAAACAAGCGTCCCATACTGCTCCATTTCGGGCTTTCCATAGGTAGTATAGTATTGCAGCTGCGTAGAGAATTCCATCAGAATCTAGGATATTCAATAATTCATCAAACCATTCATAAAAAATATTTGTCGTAATGTTTGGTAATGGTAGGTTAGATTGTGTCCAAATGGCTTTAGCATAGTCACACAAAACTAATGCATGCATAACATCTTCATTTTCTACTCCACACACGGCACACAATGGACTCACATCCACCCTTTTAATACGCAAGTTGGCCTTCCATATAAAAATTCTCCATTTGGGCGGTATTTTTTGCTTCCATAAAGTGAGCCATTTATTAAACCCCGAGTTCATACTACTGTCATAATTTCCAATAATACGTCTGTACCCATTTTTCACTGAGTAGTAACCATTGGGATCCCCATGCCAATACCATTGGTCCTTGTATTCCTGGGAGACTGGTATTTTTAAGATTCGTGACACATCATCTGGCTTAAAAATATCAGTAAGTAAATGATAATCCCATGTTCCTGTCTCCTGATCAATTAGGTTGGCTACTCTAGCATCAGCCAGCTGGGGTGGCATTTCTGTTTGGATCATGGGATCCTCCTCATCTTGTAACCAGGGATGCTTCCACACAGAGGTTGAATTTCCATTCACAATCCTCCTTTTCACACCACTACATACTAGGCTTTTTGCAGCCATAATACTCCTCCAGCAATGACTAGGATTATTCCCCAGTTCTGCTTCCATAAACGAGAGTCTATGATAGTATCTGGCTTTATAAACTTTTGAAACCAATGATTCTGTGTTAGTAAGCAATCTCCATGCCTGCTTACCCAGAAGAGCCACATTAAAAGCTTTAAGATCCTTAAAGCCCAATCCACCATATTTCTTAGGGAGGCATAGCTTATCCCAAGCTGTCCAATGTATCTTTCTATCAGTCCCAGATCCCCACCAATACCGGTTCATAAGACGCTCAATGGCGGTACAGACAAACACTGGCAATAAAAAAACACTCATTGAGAAGGTAGGCATAGCCTGGGCCACACTTTTCAATAAGATCTCCTTACCAGCCTGTGATAACAATTTCTTATTCCAAGATCCTATTCTCTGCCGGATCTTATCCTCAATGTAAGCAAATGCTGCTTTCTTATTTTTACCAATAAATGATGGCAAGCCAAGATATTTTCCAAAGTTAGGAGCCTGCATTACCTCCAACACCTGCGCCACATTATTCCTCTTTTCATCAGTTGTATTCCTGCTAAAACATATACTTGATTTCTGAAAATTGACCTTCTGTCCAGACAACTTCTCATACAGTGATAGACAGTTTTTTATCTCAATAGCCTCCTGACCAGTTGCTTTAAAAAATAAAAGACTATCATCAGCAAAGAAAAGATGTGAAACAGCGGGGGCACCACGCGCTACCCTGCATCCATGTATTAGGCCCCTATCTTGTGCTCTCTGTAATAACAGTGAAAGGCCCTCAGCACAAATAATAAACAGAAAGGGGGATAACGGATCACCTTGTCTCAATCCTCTAGTTGGCATAATTGCATCACTTCGTGTTCCATTCACCAAAAAGCTATATGAAACTGTAGAGACACACATCATAATAAGATCAATCCACTTTTCATGGAAACCCATTGCCACAAGCATACCTCTCAGAAAAGGCCATTCCATACGATCATAGGCTTTGGCCATATCCAATTTCAGAGCACTCCAACCTACCGCCCCACACTGCTTTCTATTCAAATAATGCCCTACCTCCAAGGCCACCAAGATATTATCCGTAATCAATCTACCAGATATGAATGCACTTTGTGACTCAGATATAATATCATTCATTAGGGGTTTCATCCTCTGCGTCATCATTTTAGTCATAACTCTATAAATTACATTACTGAGTGCAATCGGTCTAAGATCAGAGACCAACTCCGGATTTTCTTTTTTTTGGAATTAATACCACATCAGTGTCATTGAGACCCGGGGGAAATGAGCACGTATTCAAACAATTAACAATAAAACTCGAAATATCCCCACCTACAATATCCCAAAAATTCTGATAAAACCCTAGATTCATTCCGTCCGGGCCCGGTGCTTTATCAGGAAACATTGAAAACAGAGCAGATTTTACTTCATCCACCTCAAATGGCCGAATTAGCCATTCGTTCTGTGCTTGTGTGACTCGTGGCATAACATTATCAAATATAAGATCACCATTCCTTGGATTTTCTGTTGCAAAGATTTGCTTGAAATATTCCAACACTACACCTGACATATCATCTCCCTCCACCCATTCCCCATCACCATTCATAAGTCTATGTAAAGTATTTTTCCTTTTTCGATGAGAGGCATACCTGTGATAGAATTTGGTGTTTGCATCAGCATTCTTTAGCCAGTGCTGCTTGGCCCTCTGCCTCCAATATACGTCCTCCTGGACCTCCAACCGAGACAAGGACTCCTCCAGCCGATTGTATTCAGTTAGGGAAGTTGGATCAGTGCATCCCCGTAATCGTTCCTGCCCCTTACGAAGCAGCCGAATTTTCTCTCCAAACTTGTGATACCGGTCTCCACCCCATCGGGACAGGCGGTTTCCACAATGTTTAATGCAACTCTGTGTGCCACCACCTTTTCCTTCCTCCCATGACTCTGCCACCACTGCCCTACACCCCTCATCATAAAGCCATGCCATCTCAAAACGAAATCTCTTTCCTCCCCCTTTCCTGGCTTCATACAATTAGTTCAATTTGCAGGTTTTTCAGTTTCTAACAAGTCACCCCAAATTTAAAATATTTTTAAAAATTTATTATTTTAAAATAATATTATTTAATTTTTTTTTTAAAAAAAGTGTCTCCTGCCAGAGACGAAGAAACCTTCTTTGTCTCTATGGCCAAAGATGAAGAAACTTTCTTTGTCTCCGGCAGGGACGCTATTTTATATATATATATATATATATATATATATATATATATATATATATATATATATATATATATATATATATAATTATTTTTAAATAATAATTTTTTAAAAGAGTTAATTAACGATTTGGTCCATCGACTATGAGAATTTCACCAATCTGGTCCTCGACTTTCAAAATTCCTCAATTTAGTCTCCGAATATGCTATTTTTACCCGAAATGGTCATAAACATTAGACATCCGTTATCTCGGGATCAAATTGGTAATTTTACTATAGTCAATGGACCATTTCGGTCATCACATGCACCATTTTCTCCGAAAGTTAATTACTGAAATGATCATTTGTATAGAATTATTTGCTTAGGTAATTTTTATCCTAAATCTATTATCTAAAATAAAAATGTAACTTTAATTTGAAGCAAAAACATATTGACCCTGCTAATTGGTAAAATAGTTAGCGTATCAGTCAATTTAATTTATTTGACCACTATTAGTTGTTTGACTTGGTTAAACCATCATTATGAGTGTTTGATTCATTAGTTTTTTGTAACAACTTATTGCTCCAAAATATTAAAATTCAATTTTTTTTTTACTTAAAGTAACTTTTTTGATAAGCTTTTTAAAGGAAATCATACAGAGTATTATTTCGCATGTAATAAGTTATCAGCTAATTTACTAAATAGTTTTCTACAATAATTAATTTTATCAATTAGTCAAAATCACTAACCCAATTAGGTAACAATTATGACTATTTACCAAACAGTGCATTTTCATCTAGAATAGTCAAGTGGCAGGTTTTCTTGTTGCTTGTTGGAGCAAGTCGAACTGATCCTCCCAATAGGGTAGTTAGTTAGCAGCCGCCACTTTCCAACCGCAATCTAGCAAATATTTTGTTTGGTTTGAATTCTATTTTACATATTGTTTTTTTTACTCTAATTTTTTTTATTGTATTAACTACTCATGAATTTAAAATGATATATTTTTCTTTATTTTTATTTTTTAGTCTTTCCAATTAAGGCAGATTGTAGGATACGAATATGAAAATGTTTGCAGTATTAATCTATCGGATTTGATCTAGTATATGCATACATTTCAATCAAACATATATAGATAATTGTATTAAATACATCTTAATTTTGACATTGATAAATACTTTAAAAATAATAGGAATATATACTTTTCTGTTTGGTTTATTCAGTCTAAATGTTTAAGCGCCATCAATGATATGGTCATGACCAAGGTAACATTATATTAATATTCTCATTATCTCTCAAAATTTGCAATTTAACGAATACAAACAGATTATAGGATTTCAATATTCTTCATTGTGTGATGATAAATGAAATGACTTTCGCCATCTACTTTTGTGAATTGGTCAATGATCATTCGTCTAAAGCCCCATAAATTTATAAAATTTTAAAAACAATCTAAAAATGGTTACTTAAAGAAAATAAAGTCAAAAGCAAATTTTTATTTTGGTCAACGAAAAATGTACAATTTAACGAAAAATGTCTAATTTTTTAATTGAAAGATATTTTTGGAATTATTTATTTTCTCATATTTATTTATTCTCTTCATTTTTCAAGTTAGTTTCCTGCTGCTGCTGCTGTTACTACTACTGCTGCTACTATTATTATTATTATTATTATTATTATTATTATTATTATTATTATTATTATTATTATTATTATTATTATTATATAACAAATAATATGTTCATTTTTAAGAAAATGAACTAAACATAAAAAATACATTTTATTAACTTTAAGCTAAACAGAAAATGATAAGTAGTAATTTTTTCGCCCTTTAGCTAAAAACCTAATTTATGATTAAACTAGTCTTGTAAAAACCATATATATATATATATATATATATATATATATATATATATATATATATATATATACACACACACAATTCTTGTGCGCTCTTATAATATGTTTTTACCTCAAATTTCAAGTTCTCTAACTCGTTTATTTATTTATTTTTTAATCCAATTTTTGTTTTGTTTTGTTTTTTTGAATGCGGAAAATGAGAATTATTAATGACTAGGATCTTTACTAAGAGCATCCACATTAGTTGGGAAGAATATGGGGATAATGTAAGAGTGATTAGGAGAGAGAATATAGGGAAGGGAGGAAAAAAAAAATAAAAAAACCAAAATTAAAAAACAAACGAAAAAAAAAAAAAAGAAAAAAGAACGGCGCGCCTGACGCGCCCGTGTGGGCGGGCTGCTGTGCGCGAAACGCGCACAGCAGCCTGATGTTTCTTTTTTTCTTTCTTCTTCTTTTTCTGACAATATACCAACATTTGCAGGACAAATTTTTTTCAATTATCTCCCCTCTACATTAGCTATTATCTCTTGTTGGAAGAATGCAAACTGAAATCTCCCCATAATATGCACAAGTGTGGATGCTCTAAGGCCTCAAAGTTGGGCTTGGCATTGTCACCCAAAATGGGCAAATTATATCGTGCACCAGGGCGCACAATGTATTGTGCGTCTTGGCCTAAAACGACGTCGTTCTTATAAGTTGGCGGGAGTTGACGTGACAGACACTGTTCTGTCCATCCAATTTCGTTACAATTTTATTTTATTTTTTGTGTTTATGTGTATTATGTATTATGTTAAAATATATATATATATATATATATATATATATATATATATATATATATATATATATATATATATATATATATATATATTATGTTAGGAGTTTATGTGTATTCTACTATATAATTCTGTACATATGAAACATGAAATTTTTTAGGACGCACAATGCATTGTGTGCCCTGATGCACGATATAACAATTGCACACAATGAATAGAAATCATATATTTAATTACATAAAAAATTATTGAAAATTTTAGTGTCATAAGCATGGAATGCATTATATTCCATCAGTTATACCATAGACCTGGGTCCATCTTGCAATGTGAATCCTGATTCAAAATACACAATTTACATACTGAATTGTAGACATTTAGTATGTAATTGTGTATATAAATTGTGAACATTTAGTATATGAAAAATTGTGAACATTCACTATGTAAATTATAAATATTCAATATGTACATTGTGTATTTTTGGGCCGGGTTCCACAAAATAACTTTCCATTGTATACATGAAAAAGTTGTGCTTTTCACTTGGTTGAAAGTAATATAGGCTGGATATAACTCTACCAAATAGAAGGTACAATTATGAAACAATGCTATGGTTTTTTTGTTTTTTGTTTTTTTTTTTTTCCAATTATTCAATAATTGTCAATTTTTTATTTTTATTTTTGGGTAAATTGGAAAATATGTTCAAACAATTTTTTTTGAAGGTATGTTCAAATAATTTAACTATTTTTCAATTTAGAATATATGGAGTTTGTTGAAATTCAAAAATTTTAATATAAAAATATGAATGTGTGTTACAATAGGAAATGATATTAACAAATATTGGGATGTGACAATTAAACATGTGTATAGAGAACAAAATACACTTGCGGATGGGAAGCGGTCTGCAAGGATAAAAAAAGGAATTCTCAGTCTAGGAGGATTTTTGTGAACATTAACTAACTTGTTCTTTGTTAGGTTTACCCATCCTTTAAAAGAACAGTACTATAGTAGTGGTGGGGGACTGGGGGTAGGGGCAAATAGATGAGGTGATGATAAATAGATTGTGGTAGGTGAAAGCAATCAATAATCAATAATTGCAATAAAAATAGCAGTGTTTAATTGATTAGTGAGTACGAAGTAGATAGGTGGAATTGAGGGTATTGAGGCGTGTCCACTTTACAAAGTTGACACGATTCTAAAACTGTTCATAATTATGAATATATAGTTCAAAACTTATGAATATATAGTTCTATAATTATGAATATAGAGTTGTAAACATAATTATGAACACATAGTTCTGTAATTATGAATATAGAGATTTAATAATTGTGAATATGAAATTTAAAAATTGTGAATATATAGCTTTATAATTATGAACATATAGTTTAGTAATTATGAATATAGAGTTCTGTAATTATGAATATAGAGTTCAATAATTATGAATATGAAATTCAAAAATTATGAATATATATTTTAATAATTATGAACATATAATTCAATAATTATGAATATAGAACCGTGTTTACAAGGTGGACACGGTTCTACACTTCTACCTAGAGTCGTCAAAACGGTCTCGCGGGGCGGGACGAGCCAAAACACACCAAAGCCCGTACCGCTACGAAGCCCGCCTCTTAGTGGGCTCGGAATGTGGTCGGCCCGCCCCGCCATGCCAAAGCCCGCTGGCGGAGCGGGCTAGCCCGCTAGTAGGATATATCTCGACCGACGTAGCTCGGTTTCTCTTGTTCTTTGTGCAGGTTTTACAGGTCGGATATTTTTAAAGAAGACGGTAGGACCCGACCGGTAGACTTCCTGACCGATCGCTTTTGTCACCCGATTGGTTACCCTTATCAAGGATCTCGAGAAGAGGCACGTGGCAATACTACACGTTGACAGAGAAGGCTCGTGGAGTGATGACGCGTGGATGCTACGTGGGTTACATGCCGGCCGGCCGGAGCTGTGTCTCCGGCCTAGCGGCTATAAGTACCCACGGCGGCTACAGTGTGAAGGACTTTTGAACGATCGATAGATTATCTACAGAGCTGCCCGACCGCAGTCAGTCGGCCCTCGGGATAATCACTTAGATTGTATTAGGTCCTTCTTGATCAATAGACTTTTATTTGTTATTATTCGATCTTATTTAAGAACTTGACCGCTTAACACGTGGAAT